ACTTCAAAGGATGATAGATCTTATTAATAAAAAGTGCAGTGCACAGTAACTGCTGCTCTGCATTTCTTATTTTTTGAGTTATTGCCCTTTGTTAATTTTCATATTTCATTTTTGTCCTTGCCATTTCTCCTAAACTATATTGTTCACAAGGCGACACATCCAAGTCACGGCGTTCTAGTTAGGTAAAAATGTCAAAAGGTCAATACATGTATATCCCTGTTAAGGTTTCGTTTAAGGTCTTTAACTTCAGTAGTGATAGAGCTGAAATTGTTACTTTATATTTGGATGCATCATGTTAAGTTTTACCTGCCACACCTATTTTTTAGTCAAAGGTCATGGTCACTTGGTCCTCTCATAACAAATAATAAATCAGGTCACTCAATGATAGTACATTGATCAAGGAAGTTTTTATGAAAATGTGCCTTGGTATTAATCATAGTTATTTTAGATCAGAAGGAAAAAGGTCAAGGTCATATTTTTTTTATAGGTAATAACTTCATTTAAGACACTTAAACATGATATTTGTTAATGCATATCAGTTCTGACAGCCATGCCCATTTTAAGTCAAGTCAAAAGTCAAGATGATCTTAGAAAATGGTGCAGTATGGTATCAAACACTGGGAAAAATAGTTGAGTCTGCTCTATGGGCAGTTCTTGTTTAGCATAGCAGTTGTCTTAAACTAGTGTTTGCAGTCACATTTCTGATTAAAGTTTTTGTTTGTTATATATATATCTTATTTCCTTAGTTGTTGAAGCTGCTTGCATTAGATATGATTTCTTTCTAAAAGGCAATGTGTCTGTCCAATTTTGTTTATATAAAAGAGTCATCAAATAATGTATAAAATTTCAACATTTTTAATATTACATTGGTTTTCAGAATTGTTGTTCAAAAGCCAAGGTCATATACTTAGAAATGCAGATCTATGGACTAAGGTCAATGTATTTTTTGTTTGCCCTTTGACTTCTACTGAAAGGGCAAGGTTATTAAACCATATGTAGGAAGGCCATAAATTCCATTGTTTAAAAATTCTCAACCTGTCAATGAAGAACATCAGGTTAAAATTGCTGTATGTAACAATGGTTATTATAAGTTTTTGGTCTGACTTACATTGTATGTCACGCCTTCCCGTCACATTTTCTCATAAGTTCTATGATTTTCCTTTACTGTATAATTTATGATTTATTAGCTCACCTGAGCATGCTCAGGGTGAGCTTTTAGGATCGATGATTGTCCGTCGTCCGTTCACATTTAGTTGTTAACACTCTAGCGGTCACATTTTTGCCTCAATCATCATCAAACTTAGTTAGGATGCTTATCTAGTTGATAGCTCGGATGAGTTCGAACATGGGTCATCTCGGATGAAAAACTAGGTCACAAGAGCTAAAAATAGAAAAACCTTGTTAACACTCTAGAGGTCACATTTTTGCCTCAATCATCATCAAACTTGGTCAGGATGTTTGTCTAGGTGATAGCTCGGATGAGTTTGAACATGGGTCATCTCGGATGAAAAAGTAGGTCACCGGAGCTAAAAATAGAAAAATCTTGTTAACACTCTAGTGGTCACAATTTTGACTCAATTGTCATCAAACTTGGTCAGGAAACTTGTCTAGGTCATTGCTGGGATTAAATCGAACATGGGTCATCTCGGATGAAATACTAGGTCACAGGAGCTAAAAATAGAAAAATCTTGTTAACACTCTAGTGGCTACTGTTGTGATCCAAATATCCTGTAAATTGGTCTGAAAGTTTGTGTTGATGGTTTCTAAGCTAAGTTCGAACATGGGTCATCTTGGATGAAAAACTAGGTCACACCGCCCAAATATGTAAAAACCTTGTTAACATTCTAGTGGTCACATTTTTTACTCAATTATCATCAAACTTGGTCAGGATGCTTGTCTAGGTAATTGCTCGGATGAGTTCGAAATCGCATGTGAAACTAGGTCACCGGAGCTAAAAAATGTGTCTCCCTCATCATCACCCACACCATGAATTATTAGCAAGATCCATAACTCTGTCTCAAATATATTATTATCTTTAAGCATTGCACTGTCTTAGATTAGTTTATACAAATTTATTATACCCCACCACAAAATGGGGGGGGGGGGTAAAATGGATTTGCTTTGTCACGTCCGTCCGTCCGTCTCCATTATCGTGTCTGCTTTATAAATCCTATTCCAATTGAAGGATTTTCTTCAAACTTGGCTCAATTGTTCACCTCAACAAGGGAATGTGCAGAACCCATGTTACCCATGTGTCAGCTCAAGGTCAAGGTCACAATTGAAGGTAAAATATCAAACAATCAAATATTAGACAATATGTCGTGTCAGCTCTGTAAGTCCTACACTAATTGAAAGATTTTCTTCAAACTTGGCTCAAATGTTCACCTCAACAAGGGGATGTGCAGAACCCATGTTGCCGGTGTGTCAGCTCAAGGTAAACGTCACAATTGAAGGTCAAATATCAAATAATCAAATATTAGAGAGTATGTCGTGTCCGCTCTGTAAGTCCCACACTTATTGAAAGATTTTCTTCACTCTTGGCTCAAATTTTCACCTCAACATGGTAATGTGCAGAACCCATGTTGCCCTTTTGCCGGCTTAAGGTCAAGGTCACAATTGAAGGTCAAAAATTGACTTAGCACTCTTAGATTGATAAATATAAATATTGGACATAAGACTTTACCAATTTTCACAACTAAGGAAAAAAAAGAGTCGAGCGAGCTGGCATTTCTGTTTAAATTCTTTTTAGCTCACCTGTTACAAAGTGACAGGGTTAGCTTTTGTGATCGCTTTTCGTCCGTCGTCCGTCCGGCGTCTATCCGTAAACTTTTACTTTAAATGATTGTTCAATGAATTTAATTCCATGCAGAACTCTGGTTGCCATGAACTGAAAGAAAAAACTTTAAATTATAATTATCTTCTTTTAAAAAACCCTAAGACCTAGAGCTTAGATATTTAGCATGAAACATCTTCTAGTGAGTGTCTACCAAGTTTTTTTCAAATAAAAGCCCTGGGGTCAAAATTGGCCCCACCCCAGGGGGTCATTGATTTTCCCTATATGCATATAGTAAAAACTTAAAAAATTCTCTTCTAAAAAACCCAAAGAGCTAGAGCTTAGATATTTAGCATGAAACATCTTCTAATGAGTGTCTACCAAATTTGTTCAAATAAAAGACCTGGGGTCAAATTTGGCCCCGCCCCAGGGGTCATTGATTTTCCCTATATGCAAATAGTAAAAACTTAAAAATCTTCTTTTAAAGAACTCAAAAAGCTAGAGCTAAGATATTTAGCATGAAACATGTTCTAATGGGTGTCTACTAAGTTTGTTCAAATAAAAGCCCAGGGGTCAAAATTAGCCCTGCCCCAGGGGTCATTGATTTTCCTTATATGTGTATAGCAAAAACTTAAAAAATCTTCTTTGAAAAAAAAACAAATAGATAGAGTTTAGATATTAAGCATGAAACATCTTCTAGTTTGTTGAAATAAAAGCCCTGGGGTCAAAATTGGCCCCGCCCCAGGGGTCATTGATTTTCCTTATATGTGTATAGTAAAAACTTAAAAATTTTCTTTGAAAAAACCCAAATAGCTAGAGTTTGGATATTAAGCATGAAATATCTTCTAGTAAATAAAAGCCCTTGGGTCAAAACTGGCCCCGCCCCAGGGGTGTCCTTGTTTTTAACTATATGTGTATAGTAAAAACTTAAAAAATCTTCTTTTAAAAAACCTAATGAGTTAGAGCTTTGATGTTTAGCATGAAACATCTTCTCATGGGTGTCCAACAAGTTTGTTCAAATAAAAGCCCTTGGGTTATAATTGGCCCTGCTGGGGGGGGGGAAGAATCATTGTTTTTCATTATATGTGTGTAGTAAAAACTTAACATCATGAAACATCTTCTGATGGGTGTCTTCCAAGTTTGTTCAAATAAAAGCCCTGAGGTTCAAACTGGCCCCGCTACGGGGGCCTATATACAGGTGAGCAACCTCAGGGCCATCATGGCCCTCCTGTTTTGTTTTACTCTGTTTTACGTTTTTGTTTTGCTGTTAATTACTCATACTATGTTTTAACAAAAGCAATTTAAAAGTTTGCACTTTATCAAAATAACAGCACCAATATATAGTCCAGTTTATTTTGTTATTCTATGAGCACCAATAATAAATTAACATTTTTTTTTTGTTCAAATTCAAGTCCATTAATTTTGCTAACAAAATAATTCTTTAAACAACTTTAGTTTGGTCTCAAATATATTTCTTGTTGACAGAATAATGTTTCCACTTGTTTTACATGTGCTGGAAATTTCACTAGCATGGGAGTAGCTAGATAAGATGTACTATGCCGAGCTTGACATCATTTAGCTTTTTGAATAATGTTGTACATCCATATACACTACTATGATAAATTAAAGATAATTGAAATGAGAAAAACATATGGTATGAAATGCAAGATTACATGTGTTAAAGTCATTTTGTTTGCACTTTTTCTTATACAGTATCTGTGGCATAATTGTCTTATAGACACATTTTGTCCACTTTTTCTTATACCATCTTTGTGGCATCATTGTCTCATCGACACATTTTTTTTAAAATTTTAATATACAGTCTTTGTGGCAGCATTGTCTTATGGAAACATTTTTTTAGTCTTTTTCTTATTTAGTCTTTGTGGCATCATTGTCTTATGGACACATTTTTTACACTTTTTCTTATACAGTCTCTGTGGCATCATTGTCTTATGGACACATTTTTTACACTTTTTCTTATACAGTTTCTGTGGCATCATTGTCTTATGGACACATTTTTTTACACTTTTTCTTATACAGTCTCTGTGGCATCATTGTCTTATGGACACATTTTTTACACTTTTTCTTATACAGTCTCTGTGGCATCATTTTCTTATGGACACATTTTTTACACTTTTTCTTATACAGTTTCTGTGGCATCATTGTCTTATGGACACATTTTTAGCTCACCTGTCACAAAGTGACAGGGTGAGCTTTTGTGAAAGTGACAGGGTGAGCTTTTGTGATCGCTTTTCGTCCGGCGTCCGTCCGTCCGTCCGTCCGTCGTCCGTCCGTCGTCCGTCCGTAAACTTTTGCTTTAAATGACATCTCCTCATTAACCACTGAGCCAATTTCATCCAAACTTCACAGGAATGTTCCTTTGGTGGTCACCTTTAAAAATTGTTCAAAGAATTTAATTCCATGCAGAACTCTGGTTGCCATGGCAACCCAAAGAAAAATCTTTAAATATCTTCTTTTAAACAACCCTAAGAGCTAGAGCTTAGATATTTGGCATGAAACATCTTCTAGTGGGTGTCTACCAAGTTTGTTCAAATAAAAGCCCTGGGGTCAAAATTGGCCCCGCCCCAGCGGGTCATTGATTTTCCCTATATGCATATAGTAAAAACTTAAAAAATCTTCTTTTAAAGAACCCAAAGAGCTAGAGCTAAGATATTTGGCATGAAACATCTTCTAGTGAGTGTCTACCAAGTTTGTTCAAATAAAAGCCCTGGGGTCAAAATTGGCCCCGCCCCGGGGGGTCATTGATTTTCCCTATATGCATATAGTAAAACCTTAAAAAATCTTCTTTTAAAGAACCGTAAGAGCTAGAGCTTAGATATTTGGCATGAAACATCTTCTAGTGAATGTCTACCAAGTTTGTTCAAATAAAAGCCCTGGGGTCAAAATTGGCCCCGCCCAGGGGGTCATTGATTTTCCCTATATGCATATAGTAATATCTTAAAAAAATCTTCTTTTAAAGAACCATAAGAGCTAGAGCTTAGATATTTGGCATGAAACATCTTCTAGTGAATGTCTACCAAGTTTGTTCAAATAAAAGCCCTGGGGTCAAAATTGGCCCTGCCGGGGGGGGGTCATTGATTTTCCCTATATGCATATAGTAAAACCTTAAAAAATCTTCTTTTAAAGAACCGTAAGAGCTAGAGCTTAGATATTTGGCATGAAACATCTTCTAGTGAATGTCTACCAAGTTTGTTCAAATAAAAGCCCTAGGGTCAAAATTGGCCCCGCCCCAGGGGGTCATTGATTTTCCCTATATGCATATAGTAAAAACTTAAAAAATCTTCTTTTAAAGAACTATAAGAGCTAGAGCTTAGATATTTGGCATGAAACATCTTCTAGTGAATGTCTACCAAGTTTGTTCAAATAAAAGCCCTGGGGTCAAAATTGACCCGCCCCAGGGGGTCATAGATTTTCCCTATATGCATATAGTAAAAACTTAAAAATTTTCTTTTAAAGAACCCAAAGAGCTAGAGCTAAGATATTTAGCATGAAACGTCTTCTAATGAGTGTCTACCAAGTTTCTTCAAATAAAAGCCCTGGGGTCAAAATTGGCCCCGCCCCAGTGGGTCATTGATTTTCCCTATATGCATATAGTAAAAACTTAAAAAATCTTCTTTTAAAGAACTCAAATAGCTAGAGCTAAGATATTTAGCATGAAACATGTTCTAATGGGTGTCTACCAAGTATGTTCAAATAAAAGCCCTGGGGTCAAAACTGGCCCTGCCCAGGGGGTCATTGATTTTCCTTATATGTGTATAGCTTAAAAATCTTCTTTGAAAAAACCCAAATAGCTAGAGTTTAGATATTAAGCATGAAACATCTTTAAGTAAATATCTACAAAGTTTGTTCAAATAAAAGCCTGGGGGTCAAAACTGGCCCTGCCCCAGGGGTGTCATTGTTTTTAACTATATGTGTATAGTAAAAACTTTAAAAATCTTCTTTTAAATAATCCAATGAGCTAGAACTTAGATGTTTAGCATGAAACATCTTCTTATGGGTGTCTACCAAGTCTGTTCAAATAAACAAATAAAAGCCCTTGGGTAAAAATTGGCCCGGGGGTGGGGGGGGCCTATATACAGGTGAGCGACCTCAGGGCCATCATGGCCCTCTTGTTTTGGTTTTGTTTGCTATGTTGCCAGTCATACCAATACTATTAAGATTATAATTAGGGAGATTTTCAAGTTTTTCCTGCACAGGAAGACATCATGTGCCCTTTCAAGCATTATTTTAAGCACAAGGGGGCACCTGACTGGAACAACTGACTTTCCTTAAGCAAATTTGTAGGATGAGAAATTCATGTTCTTTATTTAGTGAACTTATTTAGTGACTTGATTTAAAGAATAATGTAATTTATATTTTCCGGGACTGATGGAGTGCACAAAGAAGAAAACTAGAGATCAATTGCAGCAGACTGTAGGCGACTGTTTGTAATTTTGGAGTTGTTTGCATTTCATCAAATGGTGAGTATTACATGTCTAATGCAGAAAATTCTTTGTTTTTTGTAATTTGTTAGCATAATTGAAGGTACGATTGTTTCGTATGTTGTTTGTTTTGTTTTAGTATGTTTTTCTCTTATTTAGTTAGATCTATACTTAATATTAATGTCCATTTGTGTTTTGAAAATTGATATTCATTAATGATATTCATATTCATTGGGATTAAATTAAACGAAACAGTTGCTTTAAAACACTTTCCATGTAGACAATTTGCAAACCTCGGTCATATTGAATTCCGTTAAAGCTACTCTCCCACACAAAACAGGTCTAAAACATACATGCCATGATTTCTAGACTGATTTATGGGACAATTTAAAAAAATGTTTCTTAAATAAACATAGCAGTATGTATCCTAGTATATCAATATTTACAACTTGCAAAAACAATGATATTGTGGTTATGTAAGGTAAAAAGCCACTAAGCCAGAACTATCAAGGAGGTGGGGGGGGGCATTAAGCAGTCGGTCACAGCGATTTTCAAAAATTCATCGCGATATATACTACAGATCAATGTGCATGTAGTCATCCTTAGATCAATCTGAAGATGGAATAATTTTTTATGCTCCCCGAAAAATTTCGGGGGAGCATATAGTCGCCCCATCCGTCCGCTTTTCTTGTCCGGCACATAACTTTGAAACAACAAAAGGAATCAACATGAAACTTCGTAGGTAGATAGATCTCATTGAGAAAGTGTGCAGTTCACAAGAACCGTAACTCTGCCTTGCCTACTTTTTGAATTATTCCCCTTTGTTTATTTTTACACTTTGAACTTTGTCCGGGACATAACTCAAAAAGGAAAAGAGGTATCAACATGAAACTTTGTTGGTAGATAGATCTCATTGAGTAGGTGTGCAGTGCACAAGAACTGTAACTCGGCCTTGCCTTATTTTTGAAGTATTCCCCTTTGTTTATTTTTACACTTTGAACTTTGTCTGGGACATAACTCTAAAACTATCGGACGTATCAACATGAAACTTTGTAGGTAGAAAGATCTCATTAAGTAGGTGTGCAGTGCACAAGAACCGTAAATGCCTTGCCGAATTTTAGAATTATTCCCCTTTGTTGGCAGGGTTGCACTGGTGCAAACCCGGGTTATAGTATGGTGAATGTTGGGCGGCTGGCGGTGGGAGGCTGGGGAAAAACTTTTGTAACAGTTTTCTCAGCAACTACTTATCACAGCCCCTTGATATTTCAGGTCTGTCGCTCATCCACTTCCTGTTTATCGACTTAGTTAAATTTTCAACATTAATGGTCAATGGTAGGAAATTTTCGTAATAGTTTTCTCATCAACTACTTATCACAGCCTTTTAGTATTTGGTATACAGCATCAACACAATGTCCCATACCGTGGGATTCGATATCAGCTCTGTCGCTCATCCACTTCCTGTTTACTGACTTAGTTAAATTTTCGACATTAATGGTCAATGGTAGGAAATTTTCGTAACAGTTTTCTCAGCAACTACTTATCACAGCCTCTTGATATTTGGCATACAGCATTGACACATGGTCCCATACCATGGGATTCGATTTCAGGTCTATTGCTTATCCATATCCTTTTTACCGACTTAGTTAAATTTTCAACATTAATGATCAGTGGCAAATTTTTTTTGTAACATCACAGCATCATGATATTTGGTATACAAATGCAACCCGTCCTTTTCTGTCTTTGACCCATTTTTGTCATCACTCTGCGTCCATCGTGCGTCCTTCAAAAAATGGCGTCAAACTTTTCAAACAACATCTCCTCCTAAACCACATGGCTAATTGCAACCAAACTTTATAGAAATGATCCTTTCAAAGTTGGACCCCTTTCAAAGATGTTCAAAAACTTAAATTCCATTAAAAAGTCTGGTTGCCATGGCAACCAATAGGGAAAACTTAAAAAATCTATTTTTAAAAAATCCCTAAGACCTAGAGCTTAGATATTTGGCATGAAACATCTTCTAATGAGTGTCTACCAAGTTTGTTCAAATAAAAGCCCTAGGGTCAAAATTTGCCCCGCCCCAGGGGGTCATTGATTTTCCCATTTTGCATATAGTAAAAACTTAAAAAATCTTTTTTTAAAGAACTCAAAGAGCTAGAGCTAAGATATTTAGCATGAAACATGTTCTAATGGGTGTCTACCAAGTTTGTTCAAATAAAAGCCCTGAGGTCAAAATTGGCCCGCCCCAGGGGGTCATTGATTTTTCTTTAATGTGTATAGCAAAAACTTAAAAAAAGCTTCTTTTAAAGACCTCAAAGAGCTAAAGCTAAGATATTTAGCACCAAACATGTTGTAATGGGTGTCTACCAAGTTTGTTCAAATAAAAGCCCTAGGGTCAAAATTGGCCACGCCCCGGGGGTCATTGATTTCCTTATATGTGTATAGCAAAAACTGAAAAAATCTTCTTTGAAAAAACCCAAAAAGCTGGAGTTTAGATATTAAGCATGAAACATCTTCTAGTGAGTGTCTACCAAGTTTGTTCAAATAAAAGCCCTGTGGTCAAAATTGGCCCCGCCCCAGGGGGTCTTTGATTTTCCCTATATGCATATAGTAAAAACTTAAAAAATCTTCTTTTAAAGAACCCAAAGAGCTAGAGCTAAGATATTTGGCATGAAACATCTTCTTATGAGTGTCTACCAAGTTTGTTCAAATAAAAGCCCTAGGGTCAAAATTTGCCCCGCCCCAGGGGGTCATTGATTTTCCCAATTTGCATATAGTAAAAACTTAAAAAATCTTTTTTTAAAGAACTCAAAGAGCTAGAGCTAAGATATTTAGCATGAAACATCTTCTAATGAGTGTCTACCAAGTTTGTTCAAATAAAAGTCCTGAGGTCAAAATTGGCCCGCCCCAGGGGGTCATTGATTTTCCTTATATGTGTATAGCAAAAACTTAAAAAAGCTTCTTTGAAAAAACCCAAATATCTGGAGTTTAGATATTAAGCATGAAACATCTTCTAATGAGTGTCTACAAAGTTTGTTCAAATAAAAGCCCTGGGGTCAAAATTGGCCCCGCCCCAGGGGGTCTTTGATATTCCCTATATGCATATAGTAAAAACTTAAAAAATCTTCTTTTAAAGAACACAAAGAGCTAGAGCTAAGATATTTAGCATGAAACATGTTCTAATGGATGTCTACCAAGTTTGCACAAATAAAAGCCCTGGGGTCAAAATTGTCCCCGCCCCAGGGGTCATTGATTTTCCTTATATGTGTGTAGCAAAAACATAAACAATCTTTTTTTAATAAACCCATATAGCAGGAGTTTAAATATTAAGCATGAAACATCTTCTAGTGAGTGTCTACAAAGTTTGTTCAAATAAAAGCTTTGGGGTCAAAATTGGCCCCGCCCCAGGGGGTCATTGATTTTCCCTATATGCACACAGTAAAAACTTAAAAAATCTTATTTTAAAGAACTGAAAGAGCTAGAGCTAAGATATTTTGCATAAAACATGTTCTAATTGGTGTCTACCAAGTTTGTTCAAATAAAAGCCCTGATGTCAAAATTGGCACGGTCCCGGGTGTCATTGATTTTCCTTATATGTGTATAGCAAAAACTCAAAAAATCTTCCCCAGCATATGCTCAGGGTGAGCTATTAGGATCACTCTCGGTCCGTCGTCTGTCGTCCGTCGTATGTTGTCCATTCACACTTTTCAAACGACATCTCCTCTGAAACCATAAGGCAGATCATAATGAAACTTCACAGGGATGTTCCTTGTGTGAAGCCTTAACAAAGTTGTTCAAAGAATTCCATTCAATGCAGAACTCTGGTTGCCATGGCAACCAAAAGAAAAAAACTTTAAACATCTTCTTCTAAAAAACCCAAAGAGCTAGAGCTTAGATATTTGGCATGAAACATCTTCTAGTGAGTGTCTACCAAGATTGTTCAAATAAAATCCCTGGGGTCAAAATTGGCCCCGCCCCAGGGGGTCATTGATTTGCCCTATATGCATATAGTAAAAACTTAAAAATTTTCTTTTAAAGAACCCAAAGAGCTAAAGCTAAGATATTTAACATGAAACATCTTCTAATGGGTGTCTACATAGTTTGTTCAAATAAAAGCCCTGGGGTCAAAATTGGCCCCGCCCCAGGGGGTCATTGATTTTCCCTATATGCATATAGTAAAAACTTAAAAAAATCTTCTTTTAAAGAACCCAAAGAGCTAGAGCTAAGATATTTCGCATGAAACATCTTCTAATGAGTGTCTACCAAGTTTGTTCAAATAAAAGCCCTTGGGTCAAAATTGGCCCCGCCCCAGGGGGTCATTGATTTTCCCAATATGCATATAGTAAAAACTTAAAAAATCTTCTTCTAAAAAACCCAAAGAGCTAGAGCTTAGATATTTGGCATGAAACATGTTCTAATGGATGTCTACCAAGTTTGTTCAAGTAAAAGTCCTGGTGTCAAAATTGGCCCCGCCCCAGGGGGTCATTGATTTTCCCTATATGCATATAGTAAAAACTTAAAAATTTTCTTTTCAAGAACCCAAAGAGCTAAAGCTAAGATATTTAGCATGAAACATCTTCTAATGGGTGTATACCAAGTTTGTTCAAATAAAAGCCCTGGGGTCAAAATTGGCCCCGCCCCAGGGGGTCATTGATTTTCCCAATATGCATGTAGTAAAAACTTAAAAAATCTTCTTCTAAAAAAACCCAAAGAGCTAGAGCTTAGATATTTGGCATGAAACATGTTCTAATGGATGTCTACGAAGTTTGTTAAAATAAGCCCTGGGGTCAAAATTGGCCCCGCCCGGGCTGACATTGATTTTCCTTATGTGTATAGCAAAAACTTAAAAGTCTTTTTTGAAAAAACCCGAATAGCTAGAGTTTAGATATTACGCATGAAACATTTTCTAGTAAGTGTCTACAAAGATTGTTCAAATAAAAGCCCTTGGGTCAAAACTGGCCCTGCCCCAGGTGTGTCATTGTTTTTAACTATATGTGTAAAGAAAAAAACTTGACCAGCTAGACCTTAGATGTTAAGCATGA